ACATTCAGCTACATCTGCTCTCTGGTGGGTTTCCTCAGCAGAAGCCTTTTTATTAGCAGATCATAACACATGGGGTGGGTTACAAACTAGAGTGTTCTTCTGACAAGGCAATTGATCAGGTCATAGGACAAAATGCTCCTCTGACTGAATCACAGAATAGAGTGGTCTCCTGATAACTGTGATTAGCCTTGCACAAACATCCGCAATTTCTACCACCGTTGCATGACAGTTTGCAGTAAACAGAGTGAAGCATTTAATTTCTCCAATGTTCCATATGCACACACATTAACTTTCTAATCATCATTGAATAAACTAACATATGCATATTGAGAAATCGCCCATGACTTATCACTCTGTTAGTCCAAAGTGTTCTACAATCAGAATGGCACTGCCCAATCATCAGCTTAATTGTGCATCAACCAGAAATACGTCCGGTCCGTCTTTGGTTTTACGTTATAAAAAAGAACAAAATTAGTTTTTTTCTCCCGAAGTATAATAAGCGGACTACACTCTAACCTGTAAAAGGTTAAAAAAAAAATCAGAAAATAAATGCATTTAAATCCTTTCTGCTTTTAAATCTCTCATCTGTGCTTCAGGGCCTCTAGACTCTGAAATTCCAAGTGTAGCACCCCCTACTGGCCAAAAGCTACAGGCTTTTTCCTATATGGCCACAAAGAGATGATGGGCATTAACATAACCAAAGAAATAGGATTTTTAGGGGTTTTTATTTACTCTTTGAAAATTTATAATTACAAACAATTTCTGGCATGGATTATATAATTATTCCTAAACTGAAAAATCCTGGAGTTAGACTTTATTCTGCTACTGCCACTACTGGCAGGAATACAAAGAGAGGAGGATCTGACTGGCCATTGGTATACTGCTGTTAAATGTCAACAATAATGACCTCACATATAAGTACAGTTTTTTAAAGAACATTTGATAAATAGAAGTAAAGTTACCAATTGTCACTCTGCATAAAATAAAAAAGTACCACGTTAAAATTTAACTTCACGTCTTAAATTATTAATTGATTAAGCACATGTATGCTGCACAAATATAAAACATGGCGGCATTTTAAAGTGATCATTTTATTTTTACAGTTCTAATTCTCAACAAAAGTCACCTACTTTACAATAAGATATTATAAATCGTTGGAAGCTGCTCGTGGTCAGCGCTAATGATGCTGCTTTTAGCTTTAGATTGCATGTAGTAACAATGCTAATTAAGAAAAGGAGCAGAATTTCTCACTAAACTCTAAAACCTTTTCTAAGGTTTTTCTAAGGAAGTACAACAAAGGTTGACTAGGGCCCCTAGAGGCCGTCTGATGCGTTTCCATTCTTGGACCTGATTGCCAGTGCATATTACCACTACTTCTATTATTCTTATGCAATTATCATTAAATGTATCTTTAATGTCTAAACCTGCACCGCAGAGTGTGCATGCTTCATTGAGGCAGGGCTCTAAGGAGTAGAGTTTCACCTTTTATTTAGTTAAACCATCACTTCCAGCCTTGCAGTCCATCATTTGTCCCAAATATATTAGAACCTGTGTGGCATTTGTGTTTTTGTGAGAAATTAGGAATTTCCTGTGGGATCAGAGTCCAAACCCATAAAGACGGTTCAGCCCCTGCAGGTCCAACACCTCGGCTCCTCTGGGGTGTTTCAGCTTGTCATGAGGGCAGAGGTCGGTGTGTGCGTCAGGTATTATTTCAGCTCTCTGTGGCGTGCCGTTCAATCACGCGGTTGACTGCAGGAGAGGTGAGCCGTGGCAACGATGAGAGCCTTGAATCAGGCGGGATGATTATAAGCCAGATGAAGCTGTCACTGAGACTCTGTGGTGGTAACCTCCTGACCACCGGCTCACCGCAGAGACAATAATGGCTTCCACATTTCTCCCTGCAGCTCCTTTTACCTCACCTCACTTTTTGTCTTGTTGCTACAAGTTGCTTTATCTGTTTAACAAATTAATCTTTCCTGCTCCCAGTTTTTCATCTATCCATCATTCTCACGTTTCCATTTTCCTCACTGAGGGATAATATGAGGTTCTGCATGAATCAGCCTGGGGTTTGACACAAGAAGAATGTACCTTATAGCTGTTAGTTATTTAAAAAGAGAATAAACTGAAAATCTGAAAATTTGTATATGTATGATATTTATTCCCATTTCTTTTGTTGTTCTTTTTTATTTTTTAATTGTCACAGTCTTGGTTCTGTTAAGGTTTCTTTTGAGTTTTCAGTTTCACTTTGATCCATGTTTTTCTTTGTTTTCTACTTCTATTGGTTTTATTCCTATTTTGTGGTGTTTTATGGATATATTTGAGTTCTTAGGTGTTTATTGGTTGCCCTCTGCTGGTCTTCTTTTCTCTACCTCCTTTCTAGAATCCTCTATTCACACCTGCTCCCAATGAGCTCATTAGTCCTGTCTTTGTTCAGTCTCCCATATATACTCTCCATTCGCAGTTCCTCAGCGCTGGTTTGAGTTTTGCTGAGTTTCGTCAAGAAGATGTCTGGTTTTTGGTCCCATGTATTTTGGATTTTTGGCCTCAGTTATTCAATTAAAGCTCCTTATGTTCAACTTGCATTAGTTTAATCTATATTTTATATAATATTTTCTGATTTTACAAAAGTCATTTTTTACACCAACTTGGGTAAAATTTTGTTATCTACCTGTAGCATTCTAAAGTGACATCTTGTCGTGTTTGTGGTAGTAAAAGACCCATTTATAAAGAGTTGCTTATTCTAATAATGAAGCAACAGGTAAACCTGGAGGGGAATTACAGTAGTGAGAGTTGATGAAGCACAGGTGGGAAATCAAACAGGGTTACAGAAGAATCCATCTGTGATGCATCAGCATGTTAATGAGAACCAAAGAACTTAATACTGAAACGAGGTGAAAAACAATAAAGTGACTAAAGAGACTCATCAGAGGAAATGAGGAGCAGCTGTAGCAGAAAGAAAGCAGGGAAATCGAAGGTGGAAGATTAAACAGAACCAAAGGAGCTGAACTTGGACACAAATAGGGTGGCACAAACAAAAGCCTTATTATTGCCTTTCTTTTTTCTTCTTCTTTTTACCGCTGCATGTCCAACAGACAAATAACAGGGATAATATTAAATGCAAAAACACATCACCATCTCATATGTTGCTGGAGTCTGTGAAAAACTCAAGAGGATTTTCTCCAAACACAGAATCCCAGAACATTTCAAACCAAGCAAGACCCTTAAACAGAGACTAGGGCATCCTAAAGACAAAACTCCCAGACCAAATCTGAGCAGAGTGCTGTCTGCAGTTCAAAGGAATGCTCTGATCTTTATATTGGAGAAACCAAATAACCTCTCCACAGACACATGAAGAGCGCCCTCCTCTGGACAAGACTCTCGAGGGACAAGAGACACTCATTTGAGGACCAGAATGTTCACATTTTGGACAAAGAGGACAGGTGGTTTGAAAGGGGTGTGAAGGAAGCCATCTATGTTAAAAAAACATCAACCTTAAACAGAGGGGGGGACTCAGATCTCAGCTTTCAAACACCTACAATGCAGCGATAGAGTTAATTCCTTCCTGCTATCATAATCCTCATCGCCATGCAGGAGACCAAGACTACCTATCTTATTAGCCAACAATGACCCTAACGACTCCCTTTTCAGAAATATAGCCCAGTATCGGGTTTTGCAGGCCAACAAAGACCTCAACGATCCCCCCTATATTAAGGGGTGGATCTTTTCTTTGGTTCAATTTGCATGTTTTCTAAGCCATAACAAGGCTTTTGTTTGGGCCACTCTATAAGCCTGGAACACAATGCTAATCCAGAGAGAAATATTTCTGGATGGGAAGCGAAACATCTTCAGACTCGGAAAACAAGTCCAGTGGTTTGTTTTTTAACTGGATGACTGATAGTCTTCACACGTTATTTTTAATGTCTTTAGATATGTTAAAATAAAATGATTCGG